TCTCACACTGTTTTTCCGGCATAAATACGGACGCCAGTTCCTAATGTCAGTCTTTGCGTGTTTTACCACCAAAAATGCTTACAGACATGTAAGCTTGCCACCCCACCCCCTCTTGTTGGCCGTTTTTCGCTCCTTTGCATTGTTCGCCGTGATTTTTTCGAAACAGCGATTTAAACAGAATTTAATAAGTTTTATTTAACGCGTTTAGTAACAGGCAGAAGAAAATATACAAAATCATGTCTAGCATGGCTTCCTCTATTACATGGATGAATTGTCGATAAATGTATGCTGCTTGAATGCCAGTGCATCTCGTTACAAATCATCACCATACTCTTGCAACTTTTTCCTCATATCCACACATGACCAAGAAGAACAGCCACGACCACGGCTATAAAACAGAATTCATTATCCCAGAAGTTGGCAGGATAACGACACTTGGTTTGACTATACCCCTGCGACTCGCCATTCTAAAATTCAAGATATTTGCGGATCTTGCTACGGATCCAACAACGGTTACGCACTCCCTAAATCTCAACTAAACTATTTAAATAATTAAAAGAAAAACCTATTTAAATAAATTAATGTTTGTGAACTACAGTATTAGACCAGTGTTTAGATTCCCTCGAAAGCTATTTTAGAATAACATCTAATTATTTGAATAGCATTATGGGCACTTCGAAAAAAATAAGCAACTATGTAATCAGCTCATTATCGTGAACAACTGGAACAACATTTTACACACGGGCTTATATGAGAACTTCCTCGATTCGACTGTCTGTGCACATTCGTCGTTCAAGTGTCGTTTGTCCTTTTCCATTTTCTATGTACTCCCCAATACATAGTAGGTTAGCGATGAGTGCACTCCTCCACTGCTGGATCACTAACGACTTTATCATCGATGCTTTATTTTAGATCAGACTTTGTTCCAGCCCGGTACAATGAACAGTATATATTTTGCGTTATGTCTGTTCCAAAGCTATTGATCCATGGGCTTTTTAAATCGCTCTCTGGACAACTGGTGAAAAGAGGTGATGCAATGTGGTTTTGAGCTAGTAGTCACTTATTAAGCCGTACACTGTATCTAAAAACTGATTATCCTTTCGCGTGTTTTCTTATTCTTAACCACAGTCTATAGCCTGTGTATCTTATCAGAGGTTTATTCTTGAACCGACCTGTATTTCCCAGTATATAAGTCATTGATGCATGCTTTGGCTGAACCTTAAAGCGGTTGGTCAACGGGGCAATAGTGGTGGAAGGCTGACAGTGTTCGTTGTGCTTTTGAACCTGTGTGTTCCGGAGAAGAGGCTCTGACGTCAGACATCTACAGAGGGATTAAACGCCGTCCTGTCATTCCCGTCATTTGTTAAATACCAAAGGAAATGTGGTGATATACCTTCATCATCAGGCCTGCCGCCTAAACCGAGAATGCAGTTATATTTGCCTATTCACATTACACATCACTCGATACCGAATCGAACAAGCAGAACTTGAAATATACGTCGTTGTATTTAGTTTCTTACTGTTTAAAATTGTTTTCATGGCTGTGTTATTTGTTTTTTTTCTGAATTCGTTGTTTAGGTCGTGTTCGAAGAAATCTGTATGTGAAACGCAGCACGGTGTCCGAAACCGCACAGAACGGATCGGGGGACCTAGAATATTACGTCGGCGATGACTGTAATGCTAAACAATTAAATGTCGTTGCGGCCAGTCGTTTGAATGTTTGTTTTTGTAGTCGTGCTTGAGGAACCATTCAGTGATAGCGGCGATGATACGTTCGTTCCGAAGGGCACCCATCTGAGCCTTCCGTTGCCGAGGCGTCGCATCCGCACATTGTCAGGGATGATACCGCCCATCGGGTAAACTATTGGTTAACACAACATCAGACTGCAACAGACGACGGGATCCGTCATATCCACCTTTTTGCTTCGAAACTCTGTGTAATAAGCGTCGTTTCAGTTATTCACCGACTTGGGGCGGGCCCACGATGTGTTTGCAGTGTCTCGAATTTTTTGACGTGTCCAAGGCTACCGAAAGCTATGTGGCACACCTGCTCCAAAAGCACAAGATTGTCATTTCGGATATCAAGCTAATCGTCGACCTGAAGCGGTAAGTATGTGCAAGTGGATAGGAGTGTGTTTATTTGAAGTACCAGTTTGCTGATTCGTTCAGTCATTTTGCGTTCATTCAAAATTGGGTAGTCTATCAAGCGTTCATTTATTAGTTTTTTTTTGAAGCAGTCAAGTTATTCGTTCATTCAGTCATTCATTCAGTCAATTAGTGTGTCAATCTGCCATTCATATATTTCTTCGCGTGTTCATTCATTTGATCAATTAGTCAGTCAAGCTATCATTCACTCATTCATCAGCTGATTCATTTCTGTGTTCATTCATTTATTTATACGTACAGTCAGATCAGTTTTGCCAGCTTCTTATGATGCTGTAACTTTAATTTTGTCATCTGTCGACGTGTTAGTCGCCCGTTTATTCTGTTTACTGTTTGTCTCTCGCAGATCATTCCACCAAGCCTTTTTACTGATAACCATAGGGATACCTCAGAAACTTAGCGTATGCTACCGGAAAATCCGATAGCTTGTGTGCAGTTCGCATAACATTCTCGTGGCCGCAAAACAGTGTGATATCTTTTAAAGACTTTTGGGAAAAGTTCAGTGTTTTAGATGCAGTAAGAATCATTGGAAAATCTTGGGATGAAATTTCAACAAAAAAAAACATTGAGTGGTGTCTGGAAGAAACTTGGTTTATTATTTTTCAAAAAACAAGACGGAAACAACGCCAGAAGCTGGTAATGTCGCTCATTTGATGGAAGAAGTTGTTAATCTTGCCAGGCAGTTAGATTTGGAAGTCAGTGGAGATGATGTCAGCGAACTGCTGGATTCACATAGTAAGGAGCTGACAGTTGATGAGTTCATAGAGATGCGAGAGCCAAACGTCGCTGAAGTATCCGACACTTCAAACCCATTTCCAGCAGAAAAGCACATGGCAATTGCAAGCTTCACAGGGGGTTTCAGCTCAATAGAAAAAAACTTAAAAGTTTTAAAAAACAGACTACAACGAAGAACGCGTTATAGCTACAAAGCAAGGAATAAAAAAATTATTATTGTGCTAAGAAGAAATTCTGCATGAAAAAAAGAAGGCATTGTGTCGTTCAGACGAATTTGTTAGATTTTATGAAGCTAGCGACATCGAAATAATAATTTTTACGTAATTCACTTATTTTTTTAATATTTTGGATTAGTATGTATAAAGAATTGCAATTTTATTAAATATTTTTCTTCTAAACTAGAGTTTTTGTTAGTCCTTGGTCCGAATTAAACAGAATGGATATGTCTTTATATGTAAATTTGTACCCTGACATGCGATTTTCGTCGGACCCACCTATCGCGTAACTTCGGTGTATTACTGTATAACCTCGAAGTAGCAGCGTAGCTACTGAGAAGTGGCCTTTTTCGGATTCCGCCGCTGATTATTTTAACTACTGATACTGTATTTAAATTCCGCTATCGGTAAAGTTACTTATTTTACTTCAGTTCTGTAGTAGTGTAGTCATTGCATTGGTTTCTAACGCGAAACTTCACTGGCGGAAGGCATACAACGCAAAGACTTAATTAGTTTCACCAGACAGCAATATGTTAACAAGACTTCCCCTATGCGATGGTAAATATAACCTCTTTGTTATAGTATAGTTATTCGAAAACGTTTTAGTTCAACTCAACTAACTCAGCATCCTATGTGAGCTGCTTCATTGGACCCATGTGCGATTAGAAGT